ACCACCGGTCACCGGGGGCCACACCTCTTTTTTTTTGTCCACTCTTCGTTGACTCAATGCGGCAGTTCTGCTTGCGCCAGGGCGGTGAGTGAGTCACACTCTGTCAGTTCACGGGTGATCACCTGATTCAGCTACACCCTAACCCTATTTGGGTATACGTTGTCCCTTCTCTCCTTGACGTCACCATGCTGGAACGTCAACACTTGGTCTTGATCGTGTTTTGACCATGCATCTCTTTACGATATACATATATCAGGCGCCCACGATGCACATACCTATTTCCTCATTATTATATTCACTGCCGCCGTAACAATGGGTCGTCGTCGCCAGGTAGCCCTCGCCAAGAGTATACAATTTGCGCTCTTCCGTGATCCCAAAGCATTTCGCAAGACCTTGATTGGACGGATCATTGCCTTCTTCAGTATATTCTACCTGAAGCTTCTTAGATATGAGCCGGATGTGTTCCGAAAGCTGCGAAATGAGATCTGGGAGATCTCAGAGGAACAATATAGAGCCTGCTTCTTAAATAGAGAAGACAAGGCGCTTCCTCTCCTGCCGATGGGAGATCTAGGCTTTTCTGGATCAGTATGCGCCATAAGCCCCTTGCAAGACTTTCTTAGAAGGAATGGGTCACGGTATTAACTCATACTTAGACATTCTTCAGCACGTCAAACTCCGCATTCCTCGTCAAGAGCCTCCCCCGACACTTCGAACATTCCTTCTTCCGCCATGACCTCTTCCAACCTTACTACGAATACATAACCACTCACCCAGACTCCATCCTTGTCTGGATCACGGATTATATCTACGCCGCGTACACATCACTGGGAACCCTCGTAAAAACGACCCCAGCGCACCATATCATCATGGAGAACATGCTATGCGGGAAGGAGAAGGATCCAGCCGCCGAGAAGTGGGAGACCTACGACCTGAAACCAATTGACTATTTCTTTCCCGAGCGGGATCTAGTCCCCGATCCGCTCGTCAGCCAAGAAACCTTAAGTCGACTGGCAGACGACTTTCCAGATAAGATCCGGCTGACGCAATCGGACTACGATGATATGAAGCGGATGATAGAGGCCGACACGGCATTTCTTGCGTCGGCGAACGCGGTGGACTATTCTCTGTTTCTGGTCCGCTTTCCGGCTTCCTCTAACCCCGATGTCATTGGGAAAAAGAGTAAGTGGCGTATTGGGTTGGCGTCCACGGATGGGAAATGGAAGTATCGTGCGGTGCTGTTGGATTTCTTCTGGGCCAAGCATAAGTTGCATGCGCAGGCGATGACGGGAGTCGTCCAGACATTCAATGTCATTGGCCGTCAAGGGCCGATGACGATTACCACGACGGCTGATGAGTATCGGGAGAAGTTCCTGGCTCTGATGGATTCCATCATGGAGGTTTATGAACCTTGAAGACACTCCTCCGATTGCTCAGAACCCCTTGATCTGCCTGCCCTGTGTAGGCATAATAAGTCATTGTCTAATACTTCAAGTTATTGTTTAGACCACAGGTCTGGTCCACGGTGCATGAATATACTTTCTAAAGAGATTAGGTAAGATTTTAAAGGAGATCACATTACTATAATTGTCTCAGTCAATCAGATTGTATTTTTACATCGAGCCCATACAGGTGTATTGAAACGCTAAAACTCTGCAAACGAAACAGCCAAAAAAGAGTCAGATCATCGTTTCAAATTCTAGGTATCGTGCGTATTTAAATGGTAGTGAAAACTGCTAGACTGAGCACTTCATCTAAATCTATCGTACCGACATGGTAAGGGATGTTTTTTCCGGGTCCAACACCAACATAGCATGGAATATCTCGAACATGAGCTTCCGCACATCGACCCGATCTAACGTCGCAACGGGAAGACGTGCAGTTTTATCTGTGATATAAGCTATCAAGCACAAACAGGCGGGAATGTTTAGAAGCAGAACACCTGGTCCTCGAGCTTGCTGACAGGGCGAGCCTTGGTGTATCCAAGAGACTCGGTCGCCTTCTTCATGGCGCTGATCATGGGAGGAGGTCCACACAGCATGATCTTGATGTCATTGGCGGGAGCAGGGAGGCGCTCCTTGATCATATCAGGAGTAACGAATCCAACACCACCGGTCCAGCCCTCGGGGGGGTTGTTGAGCACATAGTAGACACGGAAGCCATCATCCTCCTTGACCAGCTGCTCCAGTTCCTCCTTCAGCAGGATATCGTCAGGGTTGACGTTGGCAAAGATCAGGTCCACCTGGGTGGTGTCGTTACCACCGTTACGGGGGCGGTTGCGGATGATGGCCTTGATGATCTGCAGCATGGGGGTGATACCGGTTCCACCGGCGATCATACCAATGTGGCGGCACATGTTCGGGGTGTAGACCATGGCACCCTTGGGGCCGCGCACCTTCATATTGTCGCCGATCTTCAGGGTGGTCAGGTACTTAGAGATGTTACCCTGAGGGTAGGCCTTGACGAGGAGATCGAAGTAACCAGCCTCATTGTCGGAGGAGATGGGGGTGTAAGAGCGCACAACCTCCTTGGGCTGGCCTTCAATGGTAGCGGCGAGAGAGATGTGTTGACCGATGGGCAGACCCAGGATGTCGGTGGGGCGGGGCAGGGCAAAGCGATAGATGGCGACATTGTGAGAGATTTCATTCTTCTCCTTCAAGACGAAGTTCTGGAACTCGGTAGGGTTCAGGACCTTTCTGGGTTCTGATTCAGTCACGGAAGCGGTCAGCACAATCATATGATGCGGATTGAGGTATCTCCGAGGCTCTGGACGAAAGACATACTACCACTGCCACCGAGAAACTTCGTGCCGACCAAGACAGCGAAAATGGCGGTACCAACCACCAGGAGGGCGGAGGTCATGTTCTCCGAAGCAAAGGCACTGAGGATGGCAGCCAACTGTCAGTCATTGCGCGACAAGTAACCGCGGGGAATGAACACAAACCTCATGTTGACAATTCCTCCAGCAATCCCAGGGAATGGGGAAAGTAAGAGATACAAACGTCGAGAAGAGAAGACAGAGATGGAGGAGAGAGTGAGGAGGGAGAAGAGGGAAAAGACGCGGAAGATAACAAAATAGCGGAAAGATTTAGGATGGGCCGCCGTACGGGGCCGTTACCGGCGAGGTACCCGAGGCAGGCACAATGGATCGGCAGATCTTCGTTTTCTTTGTTCGATGAGTACGGTAATTTTACGGTATTGTTGACTGATCGGTTGAACTTCTCACAGGGAAATCACGGGGAGACAAAGCAGTGCTGACTGACACCGAGGGTTCGGACAGTCATGTGTGCGGGGGATCTCTCATATACTTCTACATGTACGAAGTAGTCGTAGACAATTAATTGCCTCAAGGAGACCATTCGCCATGTCCCAATGGCTTCTGATTCGGAGGAGACGGTACGAAGTCACGCTGAATGTGACTTCCGGTGTAAGATCCATTGATCATGGTCTGATCTAAACTTGTCCATAGTACATACAGTCATACGAGTCCACCCATCCTCGTGCCAGAACCAATCCGAGTAGACATTCCCAGTCCCTGTTGGGGGCTTTTGCTTTTCTGGGGTAAAGATTCCCGACGCCAATATGACTATGTAATCTCATGTATGCCTCAGGTACCTTCGAATGGAGACTTTTACTCCTCTTACCCTTCCCGATCCAGAATTCCGATCCGTCCTCCGATTTTCTTTGAGTTCCATAGACAACCCACCCCCCAATAGACTCTATCTCAGTAAATACTAAATTCTGATAATCATGACCCGCGAAGAGGCACCACCAGCCTTTAATCTCACCGACGTCGATCGTCAGGTCCTCGCACAGACCGACGAGGAATTTGTCCTTCATGACTGGGAAGATCTCAAAGCGATCATCGGTATGTTCTAATCTTATATATTTCTGCTCTCTCAAAATCATAAAAATAAATTTGAAGAAATGAGAAAATGAAAAAAAAAAAAAAAAAACCCCTCTATCAATCAAACTTCCCCTCACTCCACATCTCCATTCCCCTCCTCATAACTCCGCACTCCTAACCTTTCCCACACACACATACAGAGTCCTACTACTGACCATCAAACCAGCCCGGAATGATCTCGGAATTCTAAAGCGGAAACCCTCCGATCTCAAACGCTACCTCGCCTGGACAGCCGACATCAAAGCCCAATATGGCACAATCACAAATTACATCTGTCAACGCCGGTTAGGCTGGCACCTCCCAGACCCTGACAGCACCACCACCAGCACTACTACCACCGGTGCCACAACAGACAGTGGGGCGGTCTTCCCCTTCAAGAACCCGATCCCCTTTGCCGATCCCGCCGACTACAAGATTCTCCGCAACGACTGGCCCTACGGCGTCACCCCGGACATCAACCATCTCGTCGTGTGGCTGCGGACTCCTGTTCCCGTGAAACCGGAGAATGGGGACGTGACCGATGAGTCCCGGGCGCTGATTGAGGATTTCGTGCAGCGCACTTTTGTGGGGCGGCTTGCACAGGAGGGAAAGTCAAAGTTTTCGGATCCGAAGGAACATGTCCTGTGGTTTAAGAATTGGACTGCGTTGCAGAGTGTGCGTAGCTTGGAGCATATGCATGTTCTTGTGAGGGGTGTTCCAGAGCATATCTTGCGGGAGTGGACGGGAGAAGAACCTTTGAAGAATTAGGGTTTCTTTTCGACTTGCTGGATCTAGACATTAGATGTTAGATGTGGATTTGGATTTGGATTTTGCATCGAGAGATTAATAAATTCATTGCAACATGTTTACTCAGGTTATCAATACTATTGCTTTTTTTACTCCTGTGTAGTTTGTGTAGTGGTGGGATAGAGGACGTGCCGATAGTCACGGTTATGTGAAAATATATATCGAAACCTCGAATTAAGGCACACACAACCTGACCTCCTGATTTTCCCGAATCTACAAAATGCGACGATAAAAATAAAATAAGAAAGGGTGCTAGTTGATACCCAACTAAAATTACATATGGTGCATGATTACTAGGGGTTTGGCACCCAAGGAATTGGTGAGCCAAAAAATTCCACCCAAGGCGGCTGCGAAATACATCAAGCCATCAGGACGTTAACAATTGACTATTGGGAATCCTAAAGCAAGAGCCAGACGATTCAATAAAAATACAGAGAAAGGGGACAAGAAACCTTCCATATAACAAAGGAAGCGATATAATTAGAAGAAAAAAGCGATAAATAGAAAATTGCCCGTCATAATACGCCTGCTACCCTGTTTATCCTGATAACGGAGTAGTAAAGACACGTGAAACCATTATGGAGGACTCTCTCCACCTACTCCTCTTATGACTTCTGCTCTTCAACGAACTTCAATGCCTCCTCTCTCGACACGACGTCGATCGTACTAGCCTTTTGCCGGAAACTGACACCGTAACACTTCTCGGCCACGTGCAGCATCTCGGGCCGGAAAGTAGTACAAATGAACTGACCATTCGTGGAGTCCGATATGGATTGGAGCATTTGAGCAACGGCGGTACGGTATTGGGCGTCGAGGTTGGCATCAATCTCATCGAACAGGTAGAACGGGGCCGGGTCACAAGCTTGGATAGCGAAGACTAATGCAAGGGCGCAAAGACCTATCACGGAAATTAGTAAATTTGTCAATGTCAAACGAGCGATGGAGAAACCTACTCTTTTGGCCACCACTGAGCTGCTGGATACGCTGTTGCTCATCATGTTTACTATTGAAGCTGACACTGATTCCAACACCGACATAGTTCTCCACGCTGTTCTGGGCTTCTTCGTCCTCGGAATCGAGTTCGTCTGCCTGCCGCATGGCGCGGTCGGTCTTGCGCTGAATGATCAAACGACCACGACCGGCAGGTACAAGCTTTTCGAACACATTGTGGAACTCGCGGGAAACTTGCTTGAAGGTTCGTTCAATGGCTTCGTCCTTTCTCTGATCGAGTACGTTAATGAGGTCATCGATCGATTTCTGGGAGGCATCAAGCTCTTCTCTTCGGCTAGTGAGGGTTTCACGCTGCTTCGTGAAGCTGTTGTACTGCTCGAACGCCTTCTTGTTGACATGAGAGTATTTCTTGAGACCCTCGTTAACTTTATGGAGCTTCTTGACGACGGCATTGGAGTCCATGTTCTTGTACTTGGTGAAAGCTTCATCGGGAAGGACACCCAGGTCACGAATGTTTGCTGCACATTCGGCGGCCTGTTTGGTTAGGGCAGCCTTCTTCTGCATGCTCTTTTCCATCCGTCGTTGGTGCTTCTCAATGGACTTGGCCAGCTCGTCCAGCTCGCGCCGGGTCTCTGCGTTTCTTTGCCCAAGCTCAGCCATGCGAGCATTGGCTTGTTCAATGGACTCGTCCACTTGTTGGAGACGTTGACCAAGTTTTTCAAGCGCCTTGTTGAGACGCTTCATTTCGCGCTGGGTCTCCTTCAGGTTACCCTGACTGCCATCATCAGCCATATCGATATCCTGGCCCACCAGCTGATCAAGACGAGGGTTGAGATTCTCCCGGAGCTCAACTTCCAGGACAGACTTCCGGGCCTCCAGTTCACTACGTTGGCTGGAAAGTTCTTGATACTGCCGTCGGAGGTCTTGAGCGGTAGCACTGAGACTCTCCAGG